TCCACAGGATAGGGGGGCAGAAGAAGATGCAAATTCACCAAGTCTAACAGAGAAAGTCCTCTGGGACAGATAGGACCTGAGCCACTCGAAGGCAGCGCCCCTGATACCCACACAGTGCTCTAGACCAGAGATAAGGATGGAGTGGTCAATCGTATCAAAGGCAGCTGTGAGGTCTAAGAGCATAAGGATGGCAGAGTCACCTGAGTCTGTAGAGACCAGGAGGTCATTGAACACTCTTAGGGGCCGCCCCACGAGGACGAAACGGGTTGTATCTGCATAGTTTCTCTTGCGTATAGCCCTTTCGCTTACACGGACCCCGCAAACGATAACGGGTCCCAAGGTGGATAGATCTGCAAATGGAACGCTCTGGGGGGTCAAACGGCTCAGTGTGTACGCCCTACGATCATTTCCCGATAAATGAAGCCATAGCCCCGCCTCTCCCCACCTCTGCTGCTCACTGCTGTAGCATGGTCAGTAGTTACTGCTAGTGCTACTGCTACTGACCATGCTACAGATGTTAGTGCACAATCTACAGCTCCTCTACCACAACCATCAGCAACAAGTGGACATGGAGAATTACATGAACTACATGTCGCTAAATCCACCGCGGAGAACAAACAGAAGGTCAACCATGCTCCGGGGGTTTCTTCATTGCTTTTGGTGTATTTTGTGGTGGCAGCAGCGCCACTTACACTTACAGGCCTGGCATATGTACTATAGCGTTTCCAGCGGGTCGAGCGGTCTCGTGTGAATGGACAAGTTAAATAAATCGAATGCGTGTGAACGGGAGGCTTTTTTGAAAACGCCTACGGTGTGTAAACGCAAACGTTCCCGTGGGGCCGGGGCCTTAAAAGGGCAGACTCAGTACTGTGAAGCGCTTACGAACGGTTGGTGACCGGGCGTTCAGTGTTGCGGCCCCCCCCCCTCTGGAATGCTGCCTCCCTGGACATCTTCAAATCATCATTACAAACACACCTGTTCACCCCGGCCTTCGATCCCGAGCCCTTTCTTGGTCCCACGGCTTATAAATCTAAGACAATGTTACTGCAACTTTCTCCTAACACTTTCCATACTTTCAGTTCAAATCTCAACAAAAAAGTGCATCAAAGTGAACTCTAAAGCAATTTGCATTCTGAAATCTTAAGAGTCTATAGCACCTTCATTTTAAGAGGAAGACGTTGATTTAGAGCCGATGAGTGTGAACAAAAGGTCCGTATTGTAAATGACTCCTCCCTTTGCATACCTTCAGTACAACTCTCAACTAAGTTACTTTAAGACTGAATAAGTAATAACGTTTTTTTAAATTGTGCGTACAGTTTTCTTAATTTCTCAACATATTTACGGATGTTTTTTGCAGCCGCTTCTTAATGATAGTCGCTCCTACGTTACATTTTTAGATTTTCTTAACATCCTTTCTCTCTGCAGATGAAGACAAACATAACTTCGAATCAGGGGGTCACAGGTTTTGCTATTGTGCGTACAGTTTTTTAATTTCTCAACATATTTACGGAATGTTATGCTTCTAGTGAAACTTTTCATCGTTTTTACCGATAATGTTTTGACATTTTGACATCCTGTCTCTCTGCAAATGAAGAGAAACAAAACTATGATGATCAAATGATGGTGTTGTTGAGTTCTGCATAAAGATTTCAGTGAAAACAGCAAACAAATCAAACTCTTCTCCTTGCAGATAAAGATAAGATATGAGGTACTTTATTGACCCAATTTGACAAAACAAAGAGTCTATGAAACCAGACTTTTTGACATCCTCTCTCTCTCTAAATGAAGAGAGACATAAATAAAAATAATGGTTTTGTTGGGCTCTGCATTAGGATTGCCTAGAGTAATAACCCCCCCTCTCTCTTGCTCCCCCTCCTCACCGACAGCATGCGTCCACAGGTGGAGGCGATGGAGAAGGATTCATCCCAGGAGGATCCTCGGAGAAACCCTCGGGTCAGAAGACGAGACTCCGGGGGGGAATCACCAATCAGGAGATCCAGGGTCGAAGAGGAGGGGCGCAGCAGGGGGTCCGGAGAAACAAAACAGCAGCTAGGGCACCTGGGTAACTCCAGATTTACAGGAGAAGAAGAAGAATTCTCCCGGGAAGTTAACACTGAGTGAGGAAGAGGAGGAGGAAGAGGAGGAGGAGTGTATACTAATCCTGAAGGAGTAATCCTGACTGGCGCTTCAGGTCAGTGTCCGCAAACAGAGGTCAAAGTAATATGGTCTTAAAACACTCCGTTACCAGCTCTGAAACATCCTTCAGAGAGACACATGTTTTCATCAGGTCTGAATGCAGGACATAGAAACACCGTCATTTTGCAGTTTTGTTTTTTGAGATATATGGAAGGATAAAGTCAACAAATGAAGGGTAACAGTGATGAGTACCATATCTGTAAGGTGGCTGCAGAGATAGATTTAAAGACAGACAGAAAGATGATTTTTTTTTTATTGAAGTTATTTTTCTTTTACTTGAATTTTCTAATTATTTTTTACTAATAATAATAATTTCAAATATGTTTTTCCTAATATTCATATTATTAGGTTATATCAGCGTCTGAATTATTATTTGTATTATTATTATGCAATTATATTAAATATTATCTTTGGTTATATTATATACATAATATATAATAACGATACAAGGTACATTTAGGAGAGGAATAGTGATTAAAATGAGGTTACACACCAAAAAGATACCTTGAAATATTTCATATGCACGTCAATATCACAAAATAAATACAAATACTGCTGAATTAGAGCTGCTAAAATCGCACGCACAAACAGACACACACACACACACACACACACACACACACACACACACACACACACACACACACACACACACACACACACACACACACACAGCTAATCACATTATATTTCAGCCTTCAGTCTCTCCATGTGTTCCCTGAGTCAGCCGCTCCCCCCAGTGGAAAGTCAATAAAACAGCCAATACAGTGAAGCCATTAATAACAGCCCTCACAGCAGGAGGTCACACTCTGTTAGATAACCTCTGTTCAGTCACAGTGTGTGAAGTAATCTTGTTTAAACCCTCTGTGAGGTGTGTGTTTCCCTCTCAGGAGATAAGATGAGTCACTGTGCAGAGTCCTGTCTGCATAATGCACGACTTGTCAGGACTCTGAAACGTCCCGGAGGAGAGGAGGGTATTCTGTGTCTTGTATTGAACTTACAAAGAAACACATGAATATACAAATATGTCACTGCACAGAGAGACCTATACAATTCATGCAATTCAAACATGCGCAGCGTTTACTAAAAGCTGCAAATACAAAATACTGCAAGAAGCTCAAAACACAACGGAGACCAGGGGGACACTAAAGAGTGACGCACACAGCTGGGATACCAGGGGACACTGACACACAGCTGGAGACCAGGGGACACTAAAGAGTGACGCACACAGCTGGGAGACCAGGGGACACTAAAGACTGACGCACACAGCTGGGAGACCAGGGGACACTAAAGAGTGACGCACACAGCTGGGAGACCAGGGGACACTAAAGAGTGACGCACACAGCTGGGAGACCAGGGGACACTAAAGAGTGACGCACACAGCTGGGAGACCAGGGGACACTAAAGAGTGACGCACACAGCTGGGAGACCAGGGGACACTAAAGAGTGACGCACACAGCTGGGAGACCAGGGGACACTAAAGAGTGACGCACACAGCTGGGAGACCAGGGGACACTAAAGAGTGACGCACACAGCTGGGAGACCAGGGGACACTAAAGAGTGACGCACACAGCTGGGAGACCAGGGGACACTAAAGAGTGACGCACACAGCTGGGAGACCAGGGGACACTAAAAAGTGATGCACACAGCTGGGAGACCAGGGGACACTAAAGAGTGACGCACACAGCTGGGAGACCAGGGGACACTAAAGAGTGACGCACACAGCCGGGAGACCTGGGGACACTAAAGAGTGACGCACACAGCTGGGAGACCAGGGGACACTAAAGAGTGACGCACACAGAAGCAGAGCATGTCTCCTCAAGTTGCTGGAGATGTCTCTTCATGTGGAACACTTGTGTTTTTATATCTGCATCCTTTCTGAATCTGTTTCTCCTGATGGAGGAGATGTGGGTCGTTGTAGCACGTCCCCACCCTCCACTTATCTCATCCCGTAGAGTTCGTATTAAAGTATAAAAGTTGCAGATCAAACATGATGCCTAAAAAGAAACCGACCGCTCAGTGTCCTCTGTGACGTTTCCTGACAGAATGAAGCAGTCTGTGCTCTCCTGATGAACACCTCTGATTGGTTGGCTGCCGGGCCGTACCTTCCTATAGGCGGACTAAGCGGATGCCCCCAAGCTGAACGATCAGGTTCAGCCTCAATATCTTTGGGGAGAATTCAAATGAGCCGTCTTTCTTTGTATACAGCCGAGCCCCCTCCTGTGTTCGGTGAAGCGTTATATGCCGAGGGCCACATAGAGACATTTATTAAAAGGTTAGGGCCGCTCCCTAGAGGTGAGGTTTACTGCCTCATAAGGGAAGTTATAAGTTAGCTAAATCAATCAAAGGTGAGCTATTGTGCTCGCAGCTCGTCCCTTAAAACAGAAGCTTCAGAGTGATTATGATAAGAGGACATTTGAAGAGTATATTTCAAGGTTGTTATTTAAATAAGTTATTGGACTTTTTTCTTATCAACTTAGAATTGTTAGAACATATTTTCAACTTGAATTGACTGAAAGTGGTCTCATTAACACATGAATACTACTGGGTAATATATGTTTACAGATATATTTAAGAAGTACAATACAAGACAGGCCCAAGTTTCATTTGTGGGCAGTATTACATTATACTTTCAGAATTTGCTGAGGGCCGATTCAAATGTAGTTTGGACACCCCTGTCTTAAAGGCTTCAGAATCCCCCATTGTAGTTAGAGATAAATAGGGCCCCCAAACAGCATCTTGCATAGGGCCCCCAAACAGCTAGAAACTGCCCTGATTGGTTGTCAGCGATAAGCTCCTCCTCCTCACTCCCTCATGCAGACGTTGCACCTCCCGATGCTCTCCCTCTGCTGCCAGCTCTCCTTCAGCGTGGAGGAGGCGCTGTCGGAGGAGGCGGAGCTTACGGAGGCCTCCACGCGGGTCAGCCAGAAACTGTAGATGTTGGCGAAGTAGTGGCAGGTTCCTCGGGGCCCCTGGCACTCCACGAAGGGTTGGGCTCTGAAGTCCTTCAGACAGCTTCCTGAAGACGTGAGAGACTGGCCGCCGCCCTCATCCCCTGCTCCCGTATGCTGCAACACACACAGGAAATGACATCATCGTGAGGCGTTCCACTGACTTCCTGCAGACATTTCCTTCACTGAGGCTAAGGCACCTCTTTTCACCCTCTGTCTGAAACCAGAGCCCAGTCTGCTCTGATTGGTTAGCTGGCCGGCTCTGTTGGGATTGGTCAACCAGCTTAGAGTTGTCCCTTCCCTTAGTCTATCACGTGCAATGTGAAAAAGTGAGAATTTGAAAAAAAGTCTAATGTTTTGAAAAGAAAAGTCAGAATTCTTAAACTTTCTTTAAAAATTCATAGTTTTTGAGATTTTGAGAAAAATGGCAGAATATTTGATAAAAAAGTCTTATAACAAAAGTCCTCCCCAGTACCCACCATTAGGAAGGAGTAACCGCTCCACAGGCTCCTCCACCGCGGGGGGCATTCGGGCTGGGAGGAGCTCTGGCTGTGCAGAGCCACTGGAGACGAGGCGGCTTCACACACAACACACCGACTGATGTGCTCCTCGATGGAGGCTCCGCCCACTGGGAAGCTGGGCACCGCCGCCGTGGTCGACAGCCAATAGGATTTGTCGTTTCGACTGGCGTAGGAGCAGGTGCCCATGTTACAGGAGGAGAAGGGCATCGTGGAGAAGACCCTCATGCAAGAGCCCGCCTGACCTGGAAACAACAATCATAGAAATAGAATCAGGAGGGAGTCATCCCAGAATAACAAGCGGAGAAAAGACCCTTGGAGACATAACGCTGAGAGGCTAGAACAAGAAGAGTCCGTGCTGAAGTTGTTGATCCTGATGTTTAATAAGGGAAATAACACTAGCTAGCCTAGCTAGCCTAGCTTCCCCTCTTTGTCGTCCACACACTAAATACCTTCCACCCATGAGAGGAATGACCGATACCACCTGTGTCACTTAACATTTGCAATCCTCTGCAGGCAGCTGCATATATGAAAAAAAAACACATTACCCAAAAAAATGGCAACAAAAGGTTTCTTAACAGTTTTGTGTAGTATTACGTATCCCTAATAACAAAATAAAAGTCTCCCAAAATCTGACCACTAGAAATGTGTAATTTTCAAGATGGCGTCCAAGATGGCCGAAAAGTCCTTACTGGAACAAGGCTTCATGATATCCTCAAAATCTAAATATTGGATTTAAACATTATGTAATCATATTATTGCAATTTGGTCCAGTGGATTTCTAGGCCGCCAAAAGACAAATAAAATACTTTAAATGTAATTAATTTAAATGATGAAGGAGTTATTTTAAGACGCCAACTTGAAAATGAGACCTTTGCAGTGGTCAGGTTTTGGTAGACTTGTAGTATGTCATTAAGTACCTGATACTAAAATAATCCATTGAAAAACCTTTTGTTGCAAGTTGTTTGGGGTCACACCATATTCACAGCTGACTATTGTCTTATTTGAAGCAGGTTTCTTGCTATTCTGAGTTTGTATCCCCATGGTTGATGCATTGTGATTTGGATAGAAGCTAGATGTATACCCAGGTCCTGAGTGTGCGCCTTCTCCTGCCCCTCCAGGTACAGCAGGCTGTATCCCACCCACAGGACCCTCATGTTGATTGGACAGGTGGGGATCAGCTTTGATTGGCTGTGCATCACCAACATGAAGCCAGAGTTCACCTTCTTGGGGGGTCCGGAGGGTCCGCGGTCACCCATTTGCCCGGGATCACCTGAGACACACAAAGAAAATAAAGCAACAGGAATTTAGATTCACATCGTTAGAAAACTCTCCCTGGTCCCCGGCTTGAGCTTCAGTCTCAGGATCCATGTATCTGTGATCCTCTCCAGAATGGAAGTAGTCATCACATACAGAGCATCAACTAGTTCCTTAGTCATCACATACAGAGCATCAACTAGTTCCTGAACAGTGTCCTTCACATGCTGATATCCAAGAGAGGGAGTTACACAGTCACAAGATGGAGGAACAGAAAGCAGTATTCAATGTTTACTTCAGATTAGCTCCACGTCAGAAATGATCATGCTTGTCATATGTCTCTCTCCATAGAGGCTGAATCATCATGTTAATCACATAGCTATCATATGCCTCAAACAGTCCTGATGCTCTTCTAGGTAATCACACATCCTGTCATGTTCACAGCTACAGTTGATACCTTTGTGATCAGGGTTGGGTTGGAACGGAATAGATGTAACGGCGTTACGTAATCAGAATACAAAAATCAAGTAACTGTATTCAGCTCGTGTTACATTTGAAAAACGAGTAATCTGATTACAGTTACTTTCGTAAACCTGAAGTGAAACATTTTGGATTACTTAGTGGAATTATTGGTGGAAAGATTTCCTCACAACATTTAATATTCATTATTAAAGGAACAGCCGAATCATCACAGCGCACAAAACCTATCACGCCGCAGATGGACCAAAAAAGGGAGCGTTTGAAAAAAAAGGTGTGTGTGTGTGTGTGTGTGTGTGTGTGTGTGTGTGTGTGTGTGTGTGTGTGTGTGTGTGTGTGTGTGTGTGTGTGTGTGTGTGTGTGTG